CCCCCCTGACTTTAAAGCTGGATCCGCCCCTGGCTTAGGGTTGGGGAAATTGTGTTTAAAAGTGGACGCGCTGCTACATTCTGGGTTCTTCTCGCCAAAATTCCTCAAGTATGTACTTTTGCGGATTTTCAGTCAACTCGATTTGGCCTTTTCTTCATCTCCCCCATTCGTCCTCAGATCCACAATCTCCTCATTTCCTTGCCAGTTGAGGCTCTAGTTGCCTCCAATCGATCTTCCATTATCCAATAAGGACTGATGATGAGTAGTTGATACACCCACTTATACTTGCAACGCTTTTGTGAAAAGTCGGCATTATCGAACGCAGCATTTTGGCGTGTGCTCGACAATATAAGAGCAACGGGACACGTGGGCACAGAGCAGCAAAGGCGGGATTTTACGGTGAAAGATTTTTCGAAAAGATCTTCGGCAGCGCGTAGGCGCAGCTAACACAGCTTTTAATATGATGTGTACTTTATTACCAGCCAAGTCTGAAAGCTTTCTTCCTACATAGTTAAATATGCCTTTTGCTAACAGCCACAATTGGCCTGACCCGACCAATCTGGGCCTTTCGCAAGGAAGCCACAATGCCTCAACACCCATAACCAATCATGGCTAATTAATTGCGCGACGTTATTGATTATCGGTTTTCTCACGCGATCTAGATCAACATAAACGACTTCACCATCACCAAATATGTCTCATATGCACCGTCCAGGTGCACCTATTCAAATTTCCTGCTTTGTGGAATACCGTTGCTGATTTTTCGCTCTAAATGCATTATTTTCGAGACATAACTGTCCCATGCCATCTATAAATCGGCCCTTGTCCCCTGCTGAATGCTAATGCTGTTGTTCATTTCAGCGGTTTGACGATTTCGAGTTCAGACAAAGGAGTGACCCCCGTATACCTCCGATGCTCGGCAGGCAAAATCAAGTGGATGTACCCGCGAGGGGCGCTGCGAATTCTCCTAAGGTACCCGCGATTCAGCCTCCAAGTCCTCCCCAACTCATCCCTATTGTTTTCCAGGCTTCCCAACCAGGACAGGAACTTCCGGGCGTGTGTGAAGATCCAGACCAGCGCTAAGCCTGGACGCCCCGTGACCCGAGTCTACTTGGAGGGCCCGCGCTCCCTCATCCACCTCTATGGGGGAGACAGAGAGTCCAAGCCCATAAGGTAAAACTCGGTAGATCCACACACATGGACGAATAACCACACTGGGGGGGTTTGCAGATGCTTCAACAGCAAAAACGGGCAGGCCGCCCTGTACATTGAAGCTACAGACGAGCGATCCTTCGAGAAGCAACTGACAGAGATCGAGTACGATCTGCAACAACTGCCCAAGAACTTCCATGGGTATGATTCATCTGAAGGTGAGTTTGGAGGTGGATTGCGGATAATTTTTAGAACTCTGTTTTTCTGGGCAGAATGCCGGCCCTGCTCCCAGGAGGAAATGGCGCACATCTTCTGCACCAGCGACTTGGGTGAGTGTCTCCCTCCATTTAACCCTCCCATGAGGCTTTCAATGGCTAATTTCAGTGACCAGAGGCATCATTCACTCGGTGGAAAACAACGATCAGCTGGAGCAGTCGCTGGTGACGGTGAAGATCACCAAACTCATCAGGCACACCTCGGCTGAGGAGTTTTTGCAGGACGTGGACAGTAACGACGTGCTGCCAGGACCGTACACGCAAAAAGAGGTGACGGTGAACGTGCCCCAACATTGCGGAATCAATCACGGGCTGGGGGAGTTTGTGTTCATGGCTAGGAGGAAGTTGGGCGACTTGACGCTCCTGTGCGCGCCCCGCTTGGAAACTTGGGCGCTTCAAGTGAGCAAGCTCAACGACGAGGGACACTCACATTGTGTTCTCAGGAGCTAGCTAAATATCTCCGAACTTAGCGTTGAAATGCAGATTCTGTGATTTTAGTGTACATAAATAATCCATATCGGCCCCAAAGAACATTGCTGATGCCCCAATGTAAATACTATAACACGTTTGTACATTGTACTTATATTTTGTGATACTAGAGGTACGGTTGTGGCCATTTGAAGTTATGAACTGTTGGGGCGATCTCCCCACTCAACTACCATAGAGTTTCATAGAATATAATCTGTCTGTAGCTTTTCACTCTTGAATTCTATGTGCCAATTTCCATTTAAACGCATATTCTTGCTGGTGCCTTGTATTATATCTAGCATAGGCTTGAGTAACTTTTGCCATTGATTCACATCAAGCGAAGCAATAGAGGCAGAGTCTGCCTGGTTAGCTGATAAGGGATAGTTATTGATTTCTGTGATAGCAAAGCACACGCACGTGTGAATGGTGCCAATAAGAATGGTCTCTAATGTACTCAAAGCTACGTTTATATACATATATATATAGATATTAGATAGAAAGCATATTTTATTGTACATTTATATATGGAGAGCTATGAGGGATGTTTTGAAAATTAATAAATTTATCTGCAGGTTTCAATGGTGAGCAATCAAACAATTTTCTGTAATCCGATAACTTTCAAAATACCTGTTGGCCCAGGCCGATTGGTTCATTGTCCACACCCCAATAGGACAAAGATGGTTTTGAGCAGTTTATATCGTCCTTTGTAGGGCGGGGTGAACCACTAAAGCTATTAAGGAAACGTTAATCAATCCAGGCACTTCAGCTTCACTCGACGCTGGAAACGCTGGGCGTATCGCTCGCTCTGGCCTGTCTTCGCTCGCGCCATTCTACCCACACAAACGCAGTGGTGCCCAGAATGGAGAACACAACTAGAATGGCAATTTGCCCGTACAGCCCCAGATTGCTGGCATAGACGAAGCTGATGGCCGCTGCCACTGACTAAAAATCACCCCAAAAATTCCCTAGAATGGTTTGAGGATTGCTGGGAACTCACTTGAGTGAATTTGAAGATTGCAAAAGCAGAGGCGCTGTTGTCAGCGTAGACGCCGCCCAATACGGAGTAGATTTGCGTGTTGTAGCAGGCGTCGCCGAATCCCAGCAGAAACGAGCACATGAGGGCCAAAACCGCATTGCTGGTGATGAACGCGCTGTCCGATGTGTCTTCGAACGGCGAACTGTTGGGCAGATTGAGGAATATGACGCAAAAACTCACTAAATGCATCAGAAAGCCCGCGATTACTATGGGGTCGCGGCCCCATTTGTTGGTTTTAGTGCCCAAGATTCCAAACGCCGCTCCCCCTGTAAGAGTGGAAGCATTGGGACACAGTTTGGATGTTGGGTTTGATTGGCTCACCCAGCACCTCTCCCAATCCAATGAAAATGCCCGATAGTCCCACCAGCTCTTTTCTATTGGGCAAACTCTCGGTGAAGCTCAGACAGGAGCCGTACACGCCACTCCAGAACCCGAGCTCGAGCCCTTGAAAGCAAAACAATACTTCAGTTGTTTACCGTAGGGTGGTTCCTCTTGGAACTAACCAGTATAGAGGAAAGTTATACACAACAGCATCATGTTCTTGGTGAAAAAGAGCCGGACTGCGCCTTTGAGCGCTTCCACTGGCCCTGCGGGCGTCTGAATTTCACTATCTGTAGTGTCAGAACGCCCCTTTTCTGGCGCAGGGGCTTTAGGGGGCGGCTTTGGGAAGAACACCATGACCACCAGTCCAGCCAAAGCTATGGCGGAAAGCGTCCAAATCACCAGCTGCCTGGTTCCCCTGTCGATGTTGTCCTTTCCCCGGAAAACGAAGTAGACGAACGTGTTGCCGCAAAACATGCTGAAATGTTAACCCCGTAGCCAACAACTTGTGATCAGCAGGATGAGGAAGGGATTACCTCATTTGGAGCATGGCCCAGAACACTCCCGAATTCCTGGATATTGTCGTGTCAGTTGAATTGAGGGCCAAATAGTTGCCCTGGCCGGTCCAGATCAGTGCCGCCCCTATTCCGATGATGGCACTGACCAGGTACAGGAGCCAGACGTTGGGGAGGGCAAACGAGATGATGAAAATCCTGGGAAATGGAGAAAATTTAAATAGTGCCAACGCTGGCAGTTTATAATACGAACAAGTAGGTGATTCCTCCTGCCAGCATGGAGAACTTCGACCCGATAACGCTGATAATTGAGGGGGCTGCCCAGTTGAAGATGGCCAGAAAGGTGTAGATGATGGCCAAGCTGTAGTAGGCTTCAGCATTCGCAAAGTCTGGAACATCTTTTTTGATGCTGTTGATGATGGTGTTCTGCAAGAAATGGATGGAAATGGAAATTTTCCTCAATTTCGACCTCTTTTCTAAAGTTTACGTAGGTACCTTATGCAATAAATATCAGCCACAGATCACAGAGGTTATTATACTCTGTGACCTGTGATATCAGCCACATAGCAAAATCGCCATGGTTACCCAGCTATCAACATTGAAAGGATCGTAAACCGTCGCGGGTACAAGCGAATGTGCGCGATTTGCTCCTGGGAAATTTGGAAAAATTCGCCAATTTTTCCATTTCCTTGCCCGAGATCCTTGATTTTCTGGAAGCGCAGCGTTTCCTATACAGTCGCGTGGTGTTTTGGCTGTCGGAAGTGTTTTTGTTGCTGAAAAGTGGGGTTTTTTAACTGGCAACTTTCTGACGTTTGCTGTCACCGACATCGACCAGTTGTGAAGACCTTGGACTATGAAAATGGACTATTTGGAGGCAGATATATTAACATGCGGGTAGGGGCAATTTGGTGAATCTTTCACCTGTTGAAATCAACTGGAAAGTGGCCGTAAGATTAAAACAATCGCCAGCTCTGCTTCTATAACTGTTAACAGCGATTAGCTGACAAAATCAGCCATAACGCTGTGTTAGCTTCGGCTGCGAAAAAATTAGACTCCACCTCGGGCTAACAGAAAGAAAAACTGATCAGTTTCAAGCAAAGTCCTGGACAGCCAACTCTATACAAACTAGGCAGTAAAAGTTTGTAGATATATCGATGAATCAGGGGAACATCAGTGGAACAATTTGGTCATTTAGGTCATTTCCACTTGATACAGGGGCGGATCCAGCTTTAAATTCAGGGGGG